CAAATTATTCACCCATCCCCATACATCTAGCTCCCTCCATCTGCTTTATCATCCATCTGTTCATCCCCTTTCATTCATCCATCTATCCAGACACTCAACCACTTCTTCCATAAACTCTTCCAGTCCACCTACCTATTCAGTTATTCATCCATCTACCCTACCCACCAATATCCATCTATCCTATTCATCAGTCCATCTACTCTCTTCCATATGCACACATCTATCCATTCATGCCCTTCATCTGCCTTTACCAACAGCCATCAATCCATCCATCCCATTCATCTACCCATCCATCCTCACTCATATAAATCCATCTATTCATCCCAATGAACAACATCCTTCTACCTCACTCACCAATCCATCTAACTAACCCACCCATCTACCTTCACCCACCACAAAGATCCATTAGTCATTCCTCTTCCTTGCATCTTTTATTTAATGAGGGTCTACCATTCACCAAGCACTGTGTAACATGGGACACAGATCACACATTAAACTCATTGAAAACAGTATCTGCATGAATCTTTCTGCCATTACATATCAAGGTGTAGTTCAGGTAAGGCTTGACACATAAGTATAACTGAATCAAAGAAAGAATAAGCAGCCCTTTTCTTTGAGAACTCGCAGTCTAGACAGAAGACTGACATTAAGAATTGTGACTTGGTGAGGCAGTTACATATCCACCATGAACTGAACAGGAGTGGGACTGAGGTGAGCCTTCTTAGCTGTGTGAATCACCATGATTCCCGTATGATCAAGAAACCAAAGCAAAACAGACATGTCCCATCGTGCCAGGTCTGCATGGTTCCCATGGATATTGACATGGGTCTCTGGATCATACAGGATCTGACTTTCTTGCCTTAGGCCACCTACCTCTGTTACCTGAGGTTCTATGTGAACACTACCAATATTGCACTGACCTCACGCATGCTTCCTAAGCTCCATTTTGTCTGTTTCCACCAGTTCAGGCTGATCCAACAAAACTTCTCAGATATTTATGTGTCTGGGAGACACCAGAGTCCCTGAACATCTTCCTGGAGGAGCAGGAAAGAGGAGCACTTAACTCTAGGCACAAGGAGACTGCCAGGTGCCTGCTAGGCAGCTGGAGCCCGATGCAGAGGGATTTCCAAGCTCAGAGGCCAAATGACAGCTCAGTAGAGAACACTCCATTTGGGTACCCACTGTAAACATCCAAGAAATCTAGTGATGGCTACCGAGAGGACGTTAAAAATAATTACCCTCTGAAAATATTAGATTTGCTCTGGATTGTTCATTACACACAATGGTTTAATAGGACTTTTATTGAATAGCTGCAGAGCTCTGGGCCGAAATCAATTTGCCTTACACGCGGAATTTTGATGTGTGCTGTTGACTTCCCCAACACGGAGCAATTTGTAATAGCTTTGGCTCGCTGTTGTTTTCAAAGCTCCCTGCTACATCACAAGCATTTATTTCTGACCACAAAATTACATTTATTCAACAGAAAGCAGCTCTGGGTCTTTAAGAGGTTAACTTCTGGAGTGCTTGGCTGCTCTCCAGCGCTGAGGAGGAGCGCGGGCGCAGTGGCCCCCTGTACACAGGGGCGGCAGCGCCAGGCGGGCGGCCGTGATTAATAGAGTGCTGAGTGCGCGCCTTTCCACATGCGAGCTGCTCAGACCCCGGCTCCCATAGATCATGGGCTCGGCCTCAACATATCTGACTAAAATTGAATTTGGCTTCTCTCTCAACCGTTCATTTCCTATGTTATGCAAGGTTATATCCTTTTCTGCATGAGCAGAGCTAAACCAGCTGCAGCTTCGGAGGGGAAAATGTGCTTTCAATTATAGAGCTGGCCTACTTGCCTCAGCACAGTCCCGCGTGCCTTTAATTGAGCCATCACCCAGCCAACCTCCAGGAGGACCCTGTGCTGGTTCGGCCTTGGGGTTTTGCTCTAAGATCTTTAAAATGCACCATTCCCATTGCCACCTTAGCCACAGTGGTCCCTTTCACTACTCCAGAAGGGCCCAGGGCTTGAGGGTGGCTGAGCTGGATAAGAAAGAGATCCAGGGTAGAGGGTCACACAGGAGAAGGTATTAGTCAGTCTGACCTATCCTCAAGGTGGTTAGAGCTCTCTCTCGCGCTCTACAGGGACCCCATTAAAGATACTTTATTTACTTACTATTTGTCTTATTGGTGCTAGGGATCAAATCCACGGCGTTATGCATCCCATGAAAGAGCTCTACCACTGAGCCATAACCCTGTCCCACTCTGTCCCATGCTGGGGGATTCTAGACAAGTACTGTACCACTGAACCATCTTCCTAGTTCTTGGTTGTAAAGGAAATTGTTTCTAACACAAGTAGGTTTGATGACTATTGTTGGAGCACATAGGCAGTTTTTTGCAAGGTTAAAAAAGTTTTTATTTATAGCTTGCTAATAGTTTCTGTTTAATCATTTTTTAAAAATTTTAACGTTATTTATTTTATTCATGAGTATGCCTGATAATATATCTGTATACCACTTATGTGCCTCGTGCCTGTGAAGGCAGAAGAGAATTCTGGATCCCCTAGAACTGGAGTACAGGTGGTCACGAGCTGCCATGTGGATGCTGGGTACTGAACCCAGGTCCTTTGCAACAGCTGCTTTTAACCAATCCTCTTGAACAGATTTTTATCAAAATATTTTCTTATATTTAGTGAAATGGCAATTCTCCATTAATCTGGCCATGTTATAAAGTAATAATAATGTGATCGTCTACTGTTAAATAAAACTATTTTAGGGATACAACAGGCCTAGGGCTTCCACTTACCTTTCTTGGAGCTCCTAAACTATTTATTTATAGCTAAATAAGAATGACTTTGATTTTCCTTCTTGTTCAGTTCTTGTCTGATTCTGACGTCAAGGTTATAGTGGCTTCAGAGGATAAGTTAGGAATTTTCTGTCTGTCCCATGAATGCCGACAGAACTCTCTTAGAGAGAGCTGTGTGCACTGTGTTCTATAGTGCTTTGCTCCTAGCATCACTGCCATTATCTTCATCAGAGCAGCCGTGATGACTTGTAAGTGACCTTCAAGATGGAGCCTAAAAACTGGTATCCATCACAGAAGACGTTTTGGGAGTCACTGCACACTTAGTCATTTCCTCTTACATTTCTCAGATAGTTGCATACAATTCTGCTCCAATCACATGTGGCTTTGTACATGTGGCACGGGGTACACAGACTGTGGAAGTTGGGACTCCTCCTATGTAGCTACAGGGATGTTGCTGTCCATTTGTGGTGAGATTCTGTGGTGCTGTAGTTGCTCTGGGGTTATCCAGGCTTCTCACTTTTTGTTTTTATACTATTACTATATACTTTGTATGTAAGCCCAAGAAGCTCACTGTTTCCTCAAGTGGGATCTTGGAGGCATCATCCGTGGTGCTTGCTCTATAAGGACTGTGATTCCCTGACTAAGGCAATGTATTCCCTGCAAGAAAAGGCCATTTCTAGAATTTTCTTTTCTTTCCTTGTCCTCTCTGAGAAAGGTGTGGCCTGGAAGGTGCAAGATCAGGGAGCTACTGGAGGCACTAGTGTGGAACCTGGGAGAAAACTTTAGGTAAAACCTCACAGTCGTATTAGAAGACAAATAAAAGTGTGGAAAACTTGAGCTAAGCAAAAGCTTTCAAAAAGTATTACAGTACAGTTTACCTATGATTATAAATCAAATAGATAAAAGGATAAAACAGAAATAAACAAAAAAGTACCCAAATGAACATACTCAACGTTGGGTTTTTTTGTTTGTTTGTTTGTTTGTTTGTTTGCTTGGCTGGTTTTGGTTTTTCAAGACAGGATTTCTCTGTAGCTTTGGGACCTGTCTTGGAACTAGTTCTTGTAGACCAGGCTGGTTTCAAACTCAGAGATCTGCCTGCCTCTGCCTCCTGAGTGCTGGGATTAAAGGGGTATGCCATCACCACTCAGCTCAAGGTTGGTTTTTCAAAAAACAACTCACACAGTTGATAACCCATTTTACTAGTAAAAAAAGGTTAAGACAATGTAAAGAATCAAAGTGAAGAAATATATCAAAGCTTCAGTAGGTTAAAAAGATTAACAGGCTGTAGAGGTGGCTTAGGTTAGTTAAGAGCATTTGTTGCTTTTGTACGAGACCAGAGTTCTGCTCCCAGCATCCACATAGTAGCTCATAACCATTTGTAACTTCAGTTCCAGGGAATCTGACCTCTGTATGTCCCAGGTGTGAATATGTCTGTTTGTACTTAGACAAGGTATTGCCATATAGCATAGGCTGAACTGGAACACACTATGTAGCTGAGATCTAGAACGAAATCCTCCTATCTCAGTCTTCTGAGTGCTGGGTAGATTACAAGAATGCTTCACCAGGCCTAGTTATGAGGGATTATTTAAATTACTGTTGGAGTAGACATGCTTCAAGTTGGATTGAACACTGAGTGAGGTTAACTCCTGCTCCCAATTAATTGTCTGGGCTTGTGAAACAGAAAATTAAGTACAGCAATCAATCAATCTAATTTCAACATGAGTTAAATCTGATGACTTTGCCATAATAATTACATGTAATCATTATGATTATAAAATTTCAAACTTTTCAATCAAAGACAACAGTTATTATTGGCTTTTTCTAAAGGTATTTCTGATCTACTTTCAGCTTAACAGCCTGTCTGTTGGGGAGACATCAGGGAAAGCAGAGAGTGGAAGGAAGGGTTTTCAGGGAGTAAGACACACTCAGTACATTTCCACAGCTTCTCACCCAGTCTGAATAAAAAGGAGAAAGTAAGCTGAGATCAGCATTCACGTCTATGCTTCCTGAATGAGGATGTGACCAAGATGCCTTATGCTACTGTTGCCATCCCTTCCAACCATGACGCAGACTGCACCTTCAAACTCTGAGCCACAATCAACATTCCTTCCTTAAGTTGCTTCTGTCAGGTGTTTTGTCACAGTAATAAGAAAAGTAACCAACACAAAAACAAAAGGTGGCTTGAGTAAAAGTGAACATAAAGGCTCACTTACCTCCCCTTGGAAGCTCTTGAGCAGTGGTGCTACCTGCTTGCGCAAATCCTGGGTGGAAAGGAGGTCAGGAAACAGCCATGGGAAGAAAGAGAAGAACAACATGGGTTAGGATTCCTGTGAAGGCTCTGTGCAGATTATTACCACAGAAAATCACAAAGTAAGGCCTTGTTCGAAGACAAATGAAACAAAACAGTGTAACTTCTAACATGCACATGTTGTGTGTGTGGTATATGTACATGTTCATGTGAGATGAGTGTCTTCCTCACTTGTTCTCTGCTTACTTTTTGAGGCAGGGTCTCTCAGTGGCCTGGAGTTGATTCAGCTAGGCTTTCTGGCCAGAGAGGCACCAGTGTCTCTGCCTTCCAACACTGGTATTAAGTACATGGCCCTACACATCCAGCTTTTATGTGGGTGCTGGGGATCAAACTCAGATCCTCATGCTCACATGGCAAGACATTTTACCCACTGAGTCACTTCCCTTACCCATAGTTTCCTAAGGGTTGCATTCATACATGTGGAAAAACCAATATTTTTTTGCTCCTTCACTGGATGATTCCTGTGTTTTTACACTATGTTCAATGACAGAAAGCAATGAGATGCATTCACAGGCTTTTTTATTTTTTTACACAAACATTGCTACCTGTGGAGACTAAAGGCCCCCAAAAGATATCTTGAGCCTGTGAATACGTGAGTTCACACAGTAAAGTGACATTGCAGCTGTGATTATGTTAACAATCCTGAGATAGAGAATCCTGGACCATTCAGATGGGACTAATGTCATTAGAGTACCCAAGAGAAACACAGGAGTCCTTCCAAGAGGGAGTCAGGAGGGGACTCTGACACTGAAGCTGCGATTGGGAGTACAGGAAGATGTGGGGTCCTGGCCAGAGGATAAGCATAGCCTGGCAGAACTGGCACAGGCTGGAACCAGACCTCCCCAAAGCTTCTGGAAGGAATGCAGCTTTTGCTGGCACCTCTATGTCCACCTCGTAAATCCTGTTCTGGATTCCTACCCTCCAGCGGTGTTAGATGATGTATTCCTGTTGTTATAAGTAGATGGTAGCAATAGGGAATAAAACATTATTCTGTTCAGCCCACCACCCCTTTCAGAAGGACAGGATAAAAATCTAACAGTGAAGGGCAAAGAAAGATTAAAAGCAAGAATGACAGGAGAAAGATTTGTGTTTTTTGGGTTTGTTTGGTTTTTGAGACAAACTCTCATCTAAACCATCATGCAGCTCAGGATAACCTTGAACTTCCACCTCCCAAGGGCTGGAATTATACAGCCCTTCTTATAAGAAATTAATTTTATTCATTTATCATTTTGCATCTACCTTTGTACCTGCATGCAGGTGCCCACAGAGGCCAGAAGAGGGTGCTGGATCTCTTGGAACTAGAGTTACAGGTAGTAGTTTAACCACCTGTGAACAGAAACCTGGCCCTCTGCAGGAGCAGCAAGCACTGAGTCATCTTTCTAATGAGCATTGGATGTAGTGGAGCACACTCGTACTTCCAGTACTTGGTAAGTAAAGGTGGGGGAACCTCAGAAGTTCAAGGTCAGTCTGAGCTATGTAAGAACTCGTGTGGTGTTCACAATCACTTTACATTAAGTCTTAGTATACTGGATATTTGCTACATGGCTCAGTGGGGAGGAGACACAGGGCCTGGTGGCACGTCCTTTGCCACAGGTGGTTGACCATCTCTATCATGGGTAGCTCATGCCAAGAGATGCATTTACAAATCAGTACTCTCCTGGGAGGGAGGGTCAATGGGAGAGGTTAAGATTCAGACAAGAACTCTAAGACAGACAGACAGGAGAATGCAGAGCTAAACAGAAGGAGTTCCCAAGAGAAGGGTGTTGCTTCTACAGAAAGCTGTAGAGCAAAGGACCAAGGGAAGACAAGACTAGATTTAGCAGCTGGGAAGCTCCAGGGAACAGAGAACAGCTGGAGTAGGTTTGGAAGCTGCCATAGCAAATGTGTTGAACCTTTAGTTAAAGCATAAGGGGAAAGGACAGGGAGTAACAGGGCACCAGCAGTCCTTAACCTTTGCTCAGTGATCCCATCTACACCATGGCTTGGAACATTGAACAGAAGGATGTCCACAGCTTAGAAGGGGAAGGAATTTGTCTAAGGTCAGTGAGCTGGACGAGTTAGGAACTGAACTGAACTCAGTCTCCCCACCGACCTTCCTCTCTAGTTCACACTAAGCTAAAATTGTATAAAGAATTAAATCACCACAAGTGTGGAATGGCATAATGTAGTAGCCACCAAAAGAGGAACATGGTACTGATGGACATGTGTGTCACTCAGATGGCTTATGAAAGTCACGTGTAGTGACTTGTGCCCAAGGGAGGCTGACTCAGGAGGATGGCAAGCTCAAGTCCAACTGAGTTGTACCAGTCAGGTCCTCTCTTATAAAGCCTCATTCAGAGGATTAAGAGAAAAGCTGGGTAAGGTTACACAATGACAGAAATGAAGAGCCCCCAACATGGGGACCACAGCAGAGAAAGGGACATGGGAGCCTTTCATGGGTCAGTGGGGGCCCAAGTCCAGGTAGTCCCTGGGCTCCCCAAGCCTGCCTCTTGGTATGAAGTTGGCCTTATAAGAAAACTACTGCCTGAAGCAAGGAGGTAATAGAATTATCTCTGCAGCCTAAAAGGGTTCTAGGAAGGCCAGAGAGCTATACCTCTCAGGACAGGCTTGCCACTCCCCCTTTCTAATTATTTGGGACTTTTTAAAATAGGATCTCATTGGACTTGAACTCGATGTAGTTAAGGATAATCTTGAACTCCTCAATCCCCCTGCCTCTACCTCATGGATGCTGAGAATACAGGAATATACATGCCAAGCTGGTGTGATCTGGGGATGGAATCCAGGGCTTTGCCAATTGGGTCACAATCCCAGTCCCTGAAGCAACCTTTTGATATTAAAGCCAGATGTGTATCTGTGTGCACACAGGTGCATGTGTACTCCCTACCCTTCCCAAAGGCTGAAGGGAAGAAGAAATGACTATGTATTCACATGTCTCACACAAACTGACACAGATGCACTTCAAACCACCAGCTAAAAGTCACCCATTCTAATTTTATTTCTCAGCAGTTTGAGAAATGCCTTATCTCAATCTGCTGCCTGCAAATATTATCTGGTTTGTTACTAAACTAAGGAGAGAGACTCAAAGCTGCTCAGTTCTGGCTCACGGTACTCTGTCACCATCAGTTAACATGGACAGGAAGTGATTTATCCTCTTTTTAAAGCATGGTGCCCTTTGTATTCTAGACAGCCACTGAAACCACAGTCTCTGCTGCTTCTGGTCTTGGGTCACCACTGTTGCAACCATCGTGACAATTGCCAACTGAAGAAAGGTGGGGTTCAGGTTGATTGAAACCACGCTGGAATGGTAACTGACATCTGTTTAAAAGCCCTAAGAATAGAGTTGAACACTGATTTGAGTTAAGGGTTTTTTATCAGTATCAATTTTTGTTCCATCTCGTATCCTCACTAAACAAAAAGCAAAACAGGTCTTAATCACAGAAAGTGGTGCTCTTGTAGGAACATTTCATAAGGAGATGGTTCAGTCAGTTAGCTGCTTGCTGTGCAACCATGAGGACCTGAGTTTGATCCCTAGCACCCTGGTAAAAAGCTGGGCATGGAGAATCCCTGGGCGTATTGGGGTTCGCCAGTCAAGCTGACTCACTGTGACACACATGCTAGTTAGAAGCCTTGTTTCAAAAAGCAAGATGGAAAATTCCTGGGGAATAGCATGAGATTGACCTCTGACCTCTACACAAACCTATACTACCTATACCTACACTATCTATAATCACAACATATATATACATGTTGAAATATGAGCGGCAGGGCTGCATCCCCAACACCCCGGCCGCTTGGCTAGCTCATGCCCGAAATAACAACACACAAACTGTGTTCATTTAAGAACTGCTTGGCCCATGAACTCTAGCCCTTACAGGCTAATTCTCGCACCTGGACTAGCCCATTTCTAATGATGTGTGTAAGCACCCCAAGGTGCGCTTACCAGGAAGATTCTAGCCTACGTCCATCGTGGGTCTCAGCTTCATGCGTCTGCCTCAGAGCGCAGAGCTATCACGTCTACCCGGGAGAGCTGAGCATGGTGTCTCTCCGGAAGCAGAGCAGAGTCTGACCTCACTTCCTCTTCCGCCCAGCATCCTATTCTGTTTATTCCACCCACCTATGTTCTAAGCTATGAGGCCAAGCAGTTGGTTTATTATAATTAACCAATTACCTTCCTCCATCATATACATACATATACATATGGTAAATGCATTTTTTAATTAGGGGAAAGAAATGCCCTTGAAGAGGTTACTATCAGATGTCTGTTAGAAAAGGCCAAAACGATTTGTTTGGCCCTCTCTCTTGAGCATATAGCAAAAAAGGTTACATTACCAGAAAAACTTCTATGCAGAAACAATTTTCATTATTTTGGTCTGTACAGTTGGCTCAGCAGTTAAGAAGAGTACATGTTGCCCTTTCAGATGACCTAGGTTTGACTCCTAGCACCCACATGGTGCTCACAACCATCTGTAACTCTAGTTCCAGGTGATCTGAAGCCATTTTCTTGTCTCTGTAAGCATCAGGCATGCATGTGGTGCACATACATACATACAGACAAAACACTCACATACATAAATAAGAAAACAAATAAATCTTTTTAAAAAAAAGTTGGTTGAGACAGTCACTCTGGCTTAAAAGGAAAAGAGATAAAATACAAAAAATGCTCCAACTATGTTCTTAGCCCTGCATTTAGGAGGTGTGTGGGTCCTCGTGGACCTGGACTGTTTGTTTATCTGAGGCCCAGAAGAAGTTACTGGAAGACTCTGTCCCTTCTTTGAGGTCTTAGGTCTCCAGTCCCTTGTGACACTCTCCTGCTTCCAGCCCCGCAGACCTCCAGCTTAAGTGTCACCTCAGGATCCAGATTTGCCTTGTTCAGAGTTGGGGCCCACCTTTCTCCGCTCCTTAATTTTAGCTCACGTTTTCTTCTTGTGTCAATGTGTTTGAAAAGCTGGTAAA